ATAAGGAAGCTGTACATACAAATTCCCCGATTATTAGCAGTTACAAAAACATAGGACCTCTCCTAAAGCTCACACACCTAGCTAAATGAAACACACTCAGGACAGAGATGTGCTTCTCCTGAACCCACGGTCTGTTTTCGTCTGGTGGGCTCCATAAAGCTTCTAAGTCATAATGTTTTCTTCGCTTTTGCCCTTAAGCTCGCAGGTCATTCTTCTGCCTGCCTCTAGCAACTGGACTGGACTAGACGCTCATTTGCGAATCAACATTTACAGCCCTCGTTTCCCCTTTGGCCCAAAGCCACCGCTGGTTCCTTTTTGATGCATTTTTCTATTGCTCTCAAACTACTTCTAGAACAAGCCGACACATTTCTTTCGCTAGCCTTGCCACTCCGCACTTGAATGCAGTTCATGACAACTGTTCACTTGATGTATGTTCTCAATGACAGAGCTTATTTTACAGTTATTTTTCTCACCTGCAACTTTGAGGTGCTAGACTCAGGGTGTTTCACAAACAGATAACCATCACCCGTAGTTTACCAGGTGTTAAGTGTGTGTGAGGAAAGGTAGGATTTTTTGGAGTTAAATAGACATAACAGAAACACAGAGCCTTGTAGTTTTCTATTAAACAAGATACTTCCAGAGCACTTACTAGGCCAGGCACTGATCTAAGAGTTTTCCACGTGTTAATTTGATTTTCACAAATACCCTGTGAGCTAGGTATGATTTTTTATTTCCTCCACTTTATAGATGAGAAAACTGAGGCATAGAGAGGTTAATTAACTTACCCAAAGTCACACAGCAAATAAATGGCAGAGCTAGGATTAGGAACTGGGTCTTCTGCCTGCAGTCCACCTCTAGACCCTGAAGCTCTGCTACAAAGAGCCTGGGCATGCCACTTAAGTCCTCCCTGTCACCTGGGGACAATGGCATCCAGCGCAACCTACACTTGAGATTAAATGAGGCCCATGGAAAGGTAGTGTCCAGCCCACATCGGGAACTCTACCTTGTCCTCTTCGGCTAAATCAGCACAGAAATTCAGTAGGCGTCCAGGCCAAGAGGCCTAACTCGCCCAACAAAGCATCACCGGTAAGCACCAAGAGTAGACCACAGCTCCCTCATCTTTTCATCTCATTTGGGTGCCTGACCACTGAGAGGTTTTCTGAAACGTGTACTAAGAAACTAACTCAAATTTAGTTTTGACACATTTTCTTGTACCCGCACCCGAGGATATTTTTCCCATTGCTTTTCATGGGGGGAGGGGGGAGAAGACAGAGGGA